AATATGAAGTGGCGTATTTCCGGTGACATCTTGTGCGTTGATATCACAACAATACGATGACAATGTTATCATCATACCGATATCGCCCTATAAACCCTGGTAATAAGCGGAAAATTATCTCCAACCCTGTGCGTATATAAGTGAATCGGCGCCTGCCCGGCGTTATTCCGCTTGTTGAGATCAATTTCGGAGCCCTTGAGCAGGAGCAGCGACATTAGCGGCGTTTTGTAGAGCGCTAAAGAATTTATTTCGGCAAAAGCCGGCTAGATAGAACCTATGTGCAAAGCGGTGTTGCCGGAAGAGTCGACCTCGTTCAGCAGGGCCGGCGACGATTCGAGGATTGTTTTTATAATTCTAGAAGTCATATTAAAGTAGATAGATTCATTTATTAGCTTACACACTATCCTTCCCCTTGTTCATCATCGCTTCGAAGAGAGCGTTTCGACCAGCCGCGGAAATCGTAAAATCGGCGCCAAATCTGCGTAGCGCGGTCAGACAACTAAATTGCGGTTGTTGATTGGTGTGTTATGCTAACCGTGGATTGACATTGCGAATGGCTACGGTAACCGGTGTACAGCCATCCTGATTGATGTTGTTGAGGAGCTTGTGGACTTCAGCAAACTCCCAGAGAAGCTAAAATCATACGTTACGCTACTTTTTAGCCAAAATTATAGGCGAATGATCCCAGCATTTCAAATATATTACCTCTAGCATCGGAGACCCTGTGAGAGCAGCTATGTGTAGAACATTATTTCCATTAATATCCCGCACCGAAGCATCCGTACCGATCTGCAGCATTCTCCTCACTAAAACAAAATTCGTGATTTTGAAGTATCCTCTCACCGATTCCGATCCGGTTCATCTCAACCGCCATCAACAAGGGATATTTGCCTGTATTCTGGAGCACTTGTTGCATTTGCCTAAACTTAAAAGTATAATTTAGAACGAAGACTTACAGGTCAAATGAAATGCCATTTTTGTTCATATACTCAATGTTTTCCTCCTTGAAAAGATCTTCTCGATTACAAGCGATTGCGACGTGAATCTGGAAAACCAAATCAAATAAATGACTTTCACTAACCATTCTCCACAAAGGATTCTCCCGCAATCGATTGATCACTTCACGTATCGGGCCACGCGGATCTTTTTCGTCTACAGAACTTCATCAGCGACAGTTTATCACTTACCCGAAATCATAATTAACTGCTGGCATTCCAAACAGCGCCTATACAAGTCAAAAGCATCTTCCTGGCTTTGTTCCCCGCGGCATCGGTAGAGGCTAAGAAACGTTATAAATTTACAATGGAAACTACCTGAGTGCTGGCTTCGTCTTGTCCTTTTGGAAGACACCATGGAAAATTGGGGTCCCAGGATCGTTCTTCAAACTTCCTTGTACGATCTTTAGTGTCGCATCTTCGTCCTTTGGGTATATCACCTACGCATTTATGTAGACTGAATTATTACTCTCAGTATACCTTGTGTGCCCTCAAAAGCTCATTTGGGAAAAAAATTATTTCATATGAGTCGCTAGGGATCCAGTAGTCTTCACCAAATATCTGCTCGCGAGCAGTCGTCCACATTTCGCCTAATTTGCTCGTGACTTGTGCCAGGGAGAAGAGGCTAAAAAAATTATCAATATGCTTGCAATATATTGTAAATACCTCGGTCTACTGCTGACTACTTTATCCTCTTTCTCTGTTGGTGAAGGCGGGGGTGTTTTCAATTCTTCTTCGTCTAGAAAAAGCGTGGCTATGAACTTCAAAAATCCCCAACCTTCGTAACTACTATTTTTCGGTTCAGCATCTGTCCTAGCCAGCGGCGTCTTTTTCCCATCATTTTCACGGGACAAATCTTCATTGCTTGCCGCGGATTGGGTAACGTCATCTTTCGCGCCTTCCTCAGGATCGTCATCCTAAAAAGAAGAACTTATATTGCTCTCTTAAATATACCGCTCCCGTGCCAGCCGCCGCACGTTCAGCCAAATCATAATGGCCTTTTTCTTTCATACTTTCGATAACGGCGGATATCGCCAGGCTGGCATCCACCTAGAAACCAATCATTTACCACAAATCAGCACTTACATCAGGGTTCCTATCATTGTTATTCGTAATTTGCGCTAGTCCGGCCATCTTCGCATGGGTCTGAAAAATGGTTTAGCTTGGAAATATGAAGACAAAAGGCATCGAAGGTTGACGCAGAAACGCAAAAAAGACGTACAGAAAACGGCTGAGGGCGCGGTGTAAACAAGCGAGTATGCGCCGCTTTCGCAAGCCCTTTTTGGCGATGAGCAATGGGGGGCGCGGCAGGCTAAAGCGCACTGCGGGGTGTCATGTTTTCCCCTCGTGTCCGAAAGGCAGGGTGCTTTTGGGCTTCCGCCGCTGCCCAACGCCTGGAGAAGCGCTACGGAAAGAATCCAGCGCTTTTGCAAAATTTTGCAAAATTCCATGGGGATTCAAGGCTTTTAAAAGTTTTTGCTGTTTCAAAGCAGAATTCCGAACGTTTCGCACCATTCCGAACGGGCGCGCAATTACGTGCCAATGTACTATCCAAAAAAATCAGTAAAAGAAAAAGCGAAAAAGGAAAGTATAGTAGTAAGAAAACTCGAGCTATAGTACAAATATCTAAACCTTTTGAAAATGAAACTTTGAGCCTTTTATCGTGCTGTCGTGTTTTTTTGCGCACTTTCACGCAAAATTTTGGTAAATTTCTACCGAAAATGTACATGTAAAGCTTTTAAAACCCCTATCTTACAAATATTGGTGCCAAGCCGTCTCTGTTTCTTCTCAAATTGTGTCTTTGTCATATCCTGATCAAAAGTTACATTTTTTCAGCTCAACAACATGTTTCGGCATACTTTACTACGTCTTCAACGGCTGCGAGCCGTCGCCCAAAGTGTGTCGTCTCCTCAAACGAGCCTTCGGCAAGCCTCCGCTTGGATAAACCCGATGCTTTCGAACTTGGACGCCAAGGTGGCTGAGGAAGTGGATGCTGAGCGTCTCTTCACAACCCCTCAGGTTCATGAACTGTTACAGGTGCGTTTTTTACAGGGAAAGCGTTCCGATTTTATTTTGCTCTCACTTTACGTTTAATTTAGAAGATTACCGGTGTCGACTTGGAGAATAAAGTCTTCCGATCTCGAAGGATCTCAAATCAACAACGTCGCTCGCATTTTGCTTTGATGACCGATGAGCGGCTCGAGAACACCATTGAGCGGATGAAGGATGAGGCCCAGCTATTTCTACAGTTTGTTCCGCTGAAGGAGCCTCGTGAGATCAAGACCGAATTGCTGGCGCACGACGAAGAGATTGCGGGCTTTGACTCGTCAAGATTCGTCTTCACCGATATCTCTTTCGACGCCACCGACCAGAATCGAACCGTGGTGGTTAGAGAAATCGACGGAAAACTGCGCACAGCGACCCCTGAAGAACACGACAGGATGAATAGGACCTATTACAACAAGCAGAATCGACCCGTCGTTGATCCAGCTGTCTTTTCCGATCCATGGCTGGACAGTGCCTTGGCCAGGGACGAGCACGAATTTGTGATGGATTGGGCCTGTCTGTATTATGAGGCCGACGATCCGAAATTTGTGGAGACGACGAAGGTCGTTTTCGATCGAACGATTGCTGCCAACAAATTCGACGTCTTCTATTCCACGCGCCATTTTGGAACACTCGTGTTCTACATGGCTTTGAACAACAATCTGCCTCCGCTGCTGAACTATTTTGCCGGGCACGGAGAGCTGCGAGAATGTGCGCTGCTAGTTCGACTCCAGAAGACGCTGTACCCGGAGTGGAGGACGGCTATCGGCACCAATGATACGGATTTGAAGATCGTCCAGGATTTCGTGAAGCAGAACCCGCGTTTCAAGCCGAAGCTCACCGATCTCACAAAGTTTTTGGCACAAGGCGGACAAAAGCCCTTCAAACACGCGGTGGCCCCCAACGTGCGTGCATCGTTGTAATTTTTATGATTGTGGTTGATTTGTCATTACGATGGTTGAATCGTTTCATAGTATCAATAGATCTCTAGGAAATTGTTTTCTTTTTTTTTGTTACATTTCAGTCGATTTCCAATGAATAAACGCTTTATTTAGAGCGACGGCACGAGCCTGAAGCACCTCTCTGCTCTGCGGCAGGAATGAACGACCTCATCGATTGGCTGAGGTCGATGGATGGCCAATCGATTGAGGCTCGTCACTTTTTCTTGATGATGGATCTTTTTAGGAGCTGAAATCGCAAGTGGGCGCTCGCCTGCTCGCTTCAGAGAAGAATATCGACGTCTCTCGAACGGAGCTGGCAAAAATTTGCCGCGAGTGTGAGGAGCAGGAACATGCGTATTTTTTACCAGGAACTTGAAATTCTAACTTCCTCAGGTTGGCGAATCTTGGCGACGTCGATACTGCTGTACATCGCGTGCTCGGATCGCTCGAAGATCATATAAAAGTACTAATTCCACTTTAATTCTAACCTTATGCTAGACGCTGCGCATGAGCGAAAACTCTCTGACAGTGAACCAAACGATCCTGCAATACGAAGCCGCCAAGACGCGTGCTACAACATTACTAAAGTGCATTTCGGTAAGCCCCGTTTCTTTGCGTTCAACTATGCTCTGAATTAGGCTGGTCGGCAGTACGAGAAAGCCTGGGAATCGCTGAAAGAAGTCTCAAAGGAGGATCAAGCTACGATGCTCGGCACGTTGCAGGAACTGCAAAGCAGCATAGATGTGATCAGAAATGTTCGTTTCTAGGGTTTTTTTTACCATCTTTAGCGTTCTGTCAACTCTCACAACTCCTATTTACACTTATTTAGCTCGTTCCCACGGCCGCTATGAACGTCAAGGATTTGGAAGATCAGAAGGATGCCTTCCTCGCGTGGCAATCGACCGCCTTCTTCTTAGCTCTTCAGCAGGGCGATACGGCAAAGATTGCAGAGATCCATAGCACATATGCTAGCTTGGATCGAAAGAAAGGTAATTGAGTAAATGTGCGCTTTTAAATTGTTTTTATAGAGTTTGTCGCCATCTTCTCGAAGGGTGTCTCAAACCGTTTCGCCAACGCCAATTTTGCGCGCACCTCGGCCAGCCGTTTCTTGGAATGCGTGAAGCACGAGATCGAGAATCAAATGTACATCTTCTTCGGGTAATTTTTCATAAACAGTGTAGGCAACAATATTTCAGAGAGAAGTCCGGCGCGAAGCGTGAATTTTTGGATTCGGACGAGTGCATTTTGCTAGTGAAGGCCGCGATGAAGAAAGCCTTGGCAGAATATGGGTTCAAGGCTGTCGTCACGGAAATACTGCATGCCGAAAACGATCCACTGGCTTATATTTATGATTTGGAAAAGGTGGGACTTTCTCCTGAAAATAATCCTTTTTCAGAGCGTACCCGCTGTTACGAATGCTCTTCCGGATACGTTTACCGAAGACATGCGGGAAATGGCAAATGAGCTGTTGTTGTATATGAGGTAACCTTACCGCGTTGTCGTTATAGCCTTCCATTAGAGATACGTTTTTGGACAGCGCTGTGGATCCGTTAACGTCGGCTCTAATCAAGCATGTGCAATCTAAAGTTGACGCAATGGATTTGGTATTGATCTACATATCTGTAATTGATATTTTTTAGGTTACCGGATCCCATCGCACAAGGATTGCGGCATTCTCCTCAGCCTGCCATGACATTGTAATTATCGAATTGCTTCGGACTCTGCTTTAGATTCACCTGTTCGACAACTCATTAACTAGATTACCAAAGTTCTTTGAGCCGGCTACGATCAAGCAATTACTCCAAAGACCTGTTACGGTAATTCTATCATCAATGACGTTCAATATTTCTAGACCGCCGTCGACGCGATTATCAACAAGGCCAAGAACTGGAATTTCGCCAGGGACAGCCAGGGCAAGACGAGGCCGATTGACGACCTTATCAAGGTACGCATAATTTGTGCACTGGATCTTTGAGTTTAGGTAAATTCAGCCGCCGGGCAGTTGATCGCGGGCTTGTCACGGCTGAAGATATCGGCTGAAAAATTGGAGATTGATGGTATGATCTGTTTTCGACATATGTCTTTTCAGGTTTATTCTCGGCGAAAGCAGTTCGGGCGTGGAATAGTCGTGTCTGTGATGCTACGCTCAAAAATGTCGCCACGGCGATGTCCGGCGAGGTGCAGCGAGGTGTCGCAGAAGTGGTACTTTTGATTTATCAGCGCTTTTGTATTCTTGGTTCGGCTTTTCCATAATTTCCGTCGCGTAGGCTAGGGTTACTTGACCAACACTTTCGTTTTAGAAGGAAAAGCTGCATAGTGGAATACGCAAAGGCGTGGAACTGCCCTCATACGCCATGATGCCTTCCGAGTATATCACCAAGATCGCACAAGAGGTTAGTGGAATGTTATTTTGTAGATTAATTTAATTTTAGGTGCTTCAAAGCTTCCACAAGTTTGAAGTGTTTTTCGCTGACGACAACATAACCCATTCTTTCGCGATGTGGACAGATGTCTCTGAGGAGCGTGGTGAGCTTATTTCTAGCCTGCAATTTTATTGGAGTTTATAGAAGAAGACTTGCTGATGAAGGTGATGCGAGACCTGTGTGCCGTCATCGTTCGAAGCTTCATCGAGACGCTGGGTGATGTCTCTGCCTTGCCCCCGGTACCCGCGAAGCAACTATTCTGTGATGCCGGTAATTCTAGATATCTTGTTATTGACTTTCTATTAGTTTGTCAAAATATCATTTGAGCGAAATATCATTTTGTACAATATTTTTTTTTCGAAATTTCAATGCTTTGAAATTCAATTTTTTTTTAATTTTGAGAACAATGGCGAAAAGGCTTCGGAAAATTGAAATTTCGATAATGAAAATAAGCCCTTAATATTATCTTATTCTCCCTCTTTTTAGGTTACTTTCGAGATGCCCTACAAGATCTACGGATACCAGCTCCTGCCTTGGATGAAGTCATCACAAAACTCACGCCCACATAATTTTTTGTCTTCTTTTTTTTCTGTACTCATTCTCGTTCTCTCTGTGATAATTACTACTGGCTTTGTGATCGATCATCATGGGTATTTATGTTTTGGGAAATAAAGACAAATTTATTCTCTCGTAAAGGCCGACCCGTTGAGACCCCAGAAAATCGAGATGGCCAGCGCAATGACGGCGATACCACCAGCCAGGCCGACAGCAATGTACGAAGTTTTGTGTTCAAGCCTGTAATGGTGGATTTGATTTGGAATTGTGGCAACTTTTTCAAGTCGTAGTCGGTCGCGTAATATTCCATCTGAAGATCGGTGAGTGAGGAGCGGATGCCAGTCTTTGTGAATATTTTTCCATCCGGCTCATATAAGCAGGTGGAGAACTCGAGTGTTCGGCGGACATTTTCGAGTATCTGAAGCCCTACGTTGCCACATTAACCAACGTACCTCCGCGGGCGCCAGCTCCACAAAAGGCTTGGTATACTGGTTATGGTGGATCAAGGAAACCAGTAAACAATCTTGGGGCATCGAGACGAGCCGGCGGAAAAGCGTCACTAAGGCAATAGGATCCCGAGACGATATCGTTACCAGCAATCTGATTCTCGATTGGCCGTTCCAACAGTATGGTTGGTATCTTGGTACCAGCGTAGACGACACGAGCCACGTTTCGCCAGAAATCATAGGGGCATTTGCTGGAATTGGTCCGTTGTTGCTTACAGTCTCAAATTGCGCACTTTGGGTCGTGAATAATGAGGAGAAAGGCGTTCTGGCATTGCTCGGCTTCGGTCAGGTACGCATCTAATTCCTGATGTGATTTCGGGATCAGGACATCGCTTTTGTCAACGCTGCGCAGCCATTCGAGGAATGTCGTCTAGAAATAGGCCTTTTTCATAGTATTATAGACCTTGTTCAATTTTCTATGAAAAATACGACATAATGCCGAATTTCAAAGCACCGAATTTTCATAATGCCGAATTACAGGATTTTCCAAATTGTGACTTTTAATATTTTATTTTGCTGTGCAAAGGAACGGAATTTTTCCGAAGGACCATGGCCCGGCATTATGATATGCATCCCTTTCTCCCTTACCCGATCACTCGGATCCCCCTCGTACTCTTCCACGCTGCCCGCCGAGATGTACAACACCGCGGGGCGTTTATTGACGCGACTCGTGTTGTAAAACGGCAACGACCCGCGTAGATAATGATAGTGGTACGAGATCAGGTCATCACTGCTGTACTCCTTCAGCTCGTTGTAGTCGCGCACCAGCTCGGGCACCTGGGTCGGTTTTACAAGTGAATTTTTGGACTTACAATAGCGCGCAGCGGCTTGCAAGCTTTTTGGCATACGAGTAGCACAATGCGGCCCAAAGCGCTTCGATGCTCGACGACGGAGAGTGTGCGTTGGAGGTTGCGTTCTGCGTCTTTCGCCTTCGGATCTAATTAGGTTATCATTGAGCCAGATTTCGTGGCTGAGGCTTAGGTTTAGGCTTAGCTTGGCTGGGGCTTAGACGTAGACTTAGGATTAGGCGTATGCTTAGCTTAGGCTTAGGCTTAGGCTTAGGCTTAGGCTTAGGCTTAGGCTTAGGCTTAGGCTTAGGCTTAGGCTTAGGCTTACCCGCGACAGCTTCTAAATCCAACGTATCATTCGAAGGGCGACCACTTGCCGCTAATAACAGCAAAAAGGTGATGAAAACGCCGCGTAGTATCATCGCGGCATCTCTAGAGCGTAGAGGGTTGGAAAAATCGGCTGGAGAGAGTGCTGCACCCCCGGGTCATATGGAAGATTACAACTGGGTAGGTGGATGGAGGAAGAGAGAAAGACAGAGAGAAACGAGCATGTGTTGGCACATGCACCCGGTTTCGCTTTCGGATAGATGGCAAGTGGATGAAAATAGGGCCAATTGTGATAAATGGACAGGTGTGATCGAGTATCGCAGCACTACGAGCCATATTTCGCACCTCGTAATATTTATTTTTTGTAGGTTTTGGGGCACTTTCTTCCTTTTTCCAAGTGTTCTTGCGCTCCAAAAAGGCCTTCGATGAAGCCTATTTTAACAAGGTCGCACAGGGTATTTTAAGAAAGTCCCGCGAAAAACCGGGCTTCGAATTGTTATAAAAAACTTTCTAAACATTTTTAGCATATGAAAGCAGCTCAAGATTATAAATTAATCTTCAGCCTCGAAAAGCAAGGCGTTTTGGGTGTTGGTTGTCCATGGCTTAGCTTCAACGGACGTTTTTAGCCCAAAATTTGCGGTTTCCCTCCAGGTATATTTTAATCTTCTACTCTGTTTCTCCTTAATTCAGCATGATCTGGTAGTGTACGACGCAAAAGCGGAACGCACCAAATTTTATTTTACCGAGCGACTCCGGCCCCAGGCGGAAGGTGGAAGGTCGCGGAACGGGTGGTCCCTGGCCGTGGTGGCCCTCTAATCCCCGGCTTCCGCTCGAAATGGGCCCGAATCCCTCCTCCTCCCCTGCTGCCCACCCTGAAATGGGCACCACTCGGCCATCGGCCAGCTGTGGACCCCCGTGGCTGGCTCGACGGCCTCGATTTTGGCGTTGGAATTAATGGGTGGCGGCGGTGGCCTACGAGTTTTCCTTATTGTTAGCGGTTTCGTTCGTTTTTGAAGGATTTTCATTGGGAAGCCGATAGATTGTCTCCCCCATTTTTGGTTTTCTTGTTTTATTCTGGTCTTAGAATGCGCTGCGTAACTTCTACCACTTCCTATGGTACTGAACGTTTAGCGAGGAGGTGGGATTTTTAGCAGCGTGAAGCCACATTTCCCTGTAATCCCGAACAGCCCTATCACGAAATATGTAGCACTTTTATAGCAGCTTACACTGTTTTTAGATATAAGAATTGGAAAACCGAAAATTATAACGAGTCTCGAAAATTTCGCCTTTTTGGTCAAAAATATATGAGAAATCGCCTAAAATGACCCAATTCTCGATTTTTATAAATTTTCAGTTTCGAATTTTTAGATCACTGCATACCCTCCAAAATATTTTATCCATGCTACCGCCCAAAGCGGCCGAGCATCTGGTCGAATTTCAGCAGAAAAACGCAAGCACTCCTATTCGGATGATCAAAAAAAGGAGCGGAATGTCTGCCGGGTGAAGGGGATCCAATTCATTTTATAGCCGCCCCCTAGCCGGTGGCCGCTTTTAAGCCGATCAAACCGGCGGCTCGCATTCTAGGAAATTCGCTCCGGAGCCGAGATGAAGCTCAGGCTTTCGTTTGGAAATGCCTGTCGGCCTGTCTCCGTAACGGGATGTAAACGTATTAATGTTTGCACGCACGCTTAAAAGGCCGTCCGCGGGTCACTCGAACAGACCCCCTAAGGGCTTGGCACAGCTTTGTTCGACCCTTTTTTTCGACGCCATGTGAAAGAGCATCGTCGAATTAGTAGGACTGCATGGTTTTTAGATTTTAAAAGTTCATTTTGGGGTTTAAATGACCGTTAAGTCGCTCACCCCAAAAATTATCTTTGAAGTTACTTAACCAAATTTGCTTAAAACTTATGTCCATACCTAATTTGGCGCGGGGATCATTTTTCTAATACATTGCTAAGCCCGAAAATCACCGGAACATAGGAATCTCGCGTACTCAGAACAGTTTTTCAAAATTTTCGAATTTTTAGAGTGTTGCCTGGAACGTAAAAATAACATAGAAAGATGCGCAAAAATTTTCTGCATCGAGTGTTGTATTTTCTAGAGTGCAGTGAACACTCTAAAAATTGCAAAAATAATAGTTTCTTAAATGTGAAAGTGGCTTTGTACGTCGAAGACGCCTGCGTATTACTTAGAAAACAGACTTGTGCATGCCTTCTTGAGATAATTCCCGACCTAATACAAAAAATCGGAAAAATAAATTCCTTTTCTAAAAGAAACTAACGAGTTACTGGAATCGAACTCGCGATGGCTCGCCTGGGGGGCTCTGGGGACAGCCACTAGAGGGCGCCGCCGCCTCCCAGGCGAACGACCCGAGTTCAATTCCAGCCCCCTCTTAGAAACCAAATTTCTTTTTGCTTTTTTTTTGCATTTGTCGTGATTTAGGTCGTAGATGCAAATCTATGCTTTTCCCTCCACACCTGATCAAAATTTTTATTTTTGGCTGGAATCAGACCATTTTGTATTTTTAGAGTGTTCACTGCACTCTAGAAAATACAACACTCGATGCAGAAAATTTTTGCGCATCTTTCTATGTTATTTTTACGTTACAGGCAACACTCTAAAAACTCGAAAATTTTGAAAAACTGTTCTGAGTACGCGAGATTCCTATGTTCCGGTGATTTTCGGGCTTAGCAATGTATTAGAAAAATGATCCCCGCGCCAAATTAGGTATGGACATAAGTTTTAAGCAAATTTGGTTAAGTAACTTCAAAGATAATTTTTTGGGGTGAGCGACTTTAACGGAATTTAAACCCCAAAAATGAACTTTTAAAAATCTAAAAACCATGCAGTCCTACTAATTCGACGATGCTCTTTCACATGGCGTCGAAAAAAAGGGTCGAACAAAGCTGTGCCAGCCTCTGTTCGGTTGGCTCGCAAACGGCCTTTTAAGCTTAAGCATTGTAATTGTTTGACGCATTCCCGGGTACTGAATCCTTTCAGAAATTTTTTACTGCAAATCGCACAAGTCTCTACAAACACCATCATTCCATGATTATTTTGCGAAAGTGAACATTGCCACCGCCGGAAAAGGTGACTCCCACCGCTGAGACAATCAAGTAGGATTAGACGCCGCTCCAACGAGTACTCCCTGCCCAGCCAGGAACCGGAGAAGAAGAAGAAGGAGAAGCGGTCCACTGCTTCTCCTTCTTCTTCTACTGGCCGCCCCGTCCGATACACTACTATCGACGACTGGCTGTGGCTGAAGAACAATGGACTAAAGGACAATGGATGGCACCCCATTCCCTTCCATTCCCTCCTCTGATGCTCAACTCGCAACCCTTCAGGGCCCCAAAATTTCTAGAGATAAGCCCACTTTTACTACATTTTGCA